CACTAAAGGAAAAACTAATCAAAGGAGAAAGCAAGTCAAGTTGGGTAACTTTAACACACCTCTTTCAAAAATAAACAAAAATGGCTGGAAACACAAATCATGTTTTAATAATAACCCTGAATGTTAATGGCCAAAACTCACCAATCAAAAAACATAGAATAACAGATTGGATTTAAAAAAAAAAAAAAAGACCCAACAATATGCTACCTCCAAGAGACTCATCTCATAGGAAAAGATATCCACAAACTGAAGGTAAAAGGTTGGGAAAAATCATACCACTCACACATGGAATGCGAAAGCAAGCAGGGGTTTCCATATTCATATCAAATAAAGTAGACTTCAAGCCAAAGTTAACCAAAAGGGATAAAAAAGCATATTTCATATTCCTTAAGGAAACCACTCATCAACAAGACATAATAATAACAAATTTGTAGGCCCCAAACAATGTACGTCTACGTTCATCAAACATACTCTTCTCAGGTTCGAGAGTCAAATGGACCACATTAATTTTGGGTAACTTTAACATACCTCTTTCACTACTGAATAGATCTTCCAAACAAAAGCTGAAAAAGAAACTATAGAACTCAAAAATACAATCAATAACTTAGACTTAACTGACATATACAGAATATTTCATCCTTCAATAAATGAATATACTTTCTTCTCTGCAACACATGGATCCCTCTCTAAAATGTCCATATATTATACCACAAAGCAACTCTTAGCAAATGCAAAAAAGTGGAGATACTACCCTGCATTTGATCAGATCATAATGAAATAAAATTAGAAATCAATGATAAGATAAAAAAAATAAAAGCTACTCCAACACCTGAAGACTAAATAATATGCTACTGAATGAACAATGGGTTACAAAAGACATCAAGGAAGAGATTAAGAGATTCTTAGAGGTGAATGAGAACACAGATAACAACACATTGAAATCTCTGGGACACTATGAAGGTATTTAGTACTAAGAGGAAAGTTCATTGCATGGAGTTCATTCCTTAAAAGAAGAAAAAGTCAACAAATAAATGACCTAACATTACACCTCAGAGCGCTAGAAAAAGAACAAATCAACACCAAAAACAGTAGAAGATAGGAAATACTTAAAATCAGAGCTGAAATCAATGAAATTGAAACAAAAGAAACAACTGAAAAAATTGACAAAAAAAAAGTTGGTTCTTTGAAAAAATAAATAAAATGTAATGAAGAGGAGAGAGAAAACTCAAATTACTAATATACGTGATGAAAAAGGAAATATCACAACAGACACTACAGAAATATAGAAGATACTTATAAATTATTTTGAAAACTTGTACTCCAATAAAATAGAAAATATCGAAGGCACTGACAAATTTCTAGAGTCTCATGATTTGCCCAAATTGAATCAGGATGATATACACACACAATTTAAACAGTGATGAAATAAAAGACACCATCAGAATCCTACTAACCAAGAAAAGCCCAGGACCAGATGGATACACAGCCAAGTTCTACAACACCTTTAAAGAAGAATACCAACACTCTTCAATTTATTTCAGGAAGGAGCACTTCCAAACTCATTTTATAAGGCCAATGTCATGCTGATTCCAAAACCAGGCAAAGACACATTAAAGAAAAAAAAAAAAAACTTCAAACCAATATCTCTAAAGAACATAGATGCAAAAATTCTCAATGAAATTTTGGCAAATCAAATACAAAAACATAGTGCACCACAATCAAGTGGGGTTCATCCCAGGGATGCAAGGTTGGTTCAACATATGGAAATCAATCAATGTAATTCATCACATCAATAGACTTAAAGATAAGAACCATATGATCATCTCAATAGATGCATAAAAAACATTCAACAAAATACAGCTCCCCTTCATGTTCAAAACACTAGAAAAACTAGGGATAACTGGAACATATTCAACATTATAAAAGCTATCTATGCTAAGCCCCAGGCCAACATCATTCTAAATGGAGAAAAATTGAAAGCATTCCCTCTAAACACTGAAACAAGACAGGGATGCCCTCTTTCACCACTTCTTTTTTTTAATATTTATTTTTTAATTATATGTGGACAAAATGTCTTTATTTTTGTTTTTTATGTGGTGCTAAGGATCGAACCCAGAGTCTCACACATGGTAGGCGAGCTCTCAACCTCTGAGCCACAACCCCAGCCCCTCTTTTACCACTTCTATTTAACATAGTTCTTGAAACACTGGCCAGAGCAATTAGACAGACCAAAGAAATTAAAGGGATACACATAGGAAAAAGAAGAACTCAAATTAGCACTATTTGCTGACAATATGATTCTATACCTAGAAGACCTAAAAAATTCCACCAGAAAAGTTCTATAACTAGTAAATGAATTCAGGGAAGTAGCAGGATACAAAATCAATACGCATAAATCAAAGGCATTTCTGTATATCAGTGACAAATCCTCTGAAAGAGAAACTAGGAAAACTACCCCATTTACAATAGACTCAATAAAATAAAATACTTGGGAATCAACCTAACAAAAGAGGTGAAAGACCTCTACAATGAAAACTACCAAATGCTAAAGAAAAAAACTGAAGAAAACCTCAGAAGAGGAAAGATCTTTCTTGAGTTCCTGGATATGCAGAATTAATATTGTCAAAATGACCACACAGCCAAAAGCACTATACAGATTTAATGCAATTCCAATCAAAATCCCAATGACACTCCTCATAGAAATAGAAAAGCAGTCACAAAATTCATCTGGAAAAATACGAGATCCAGAATAGCCAAAGCAATCCTTAGCAGGAAAAGTGAAGCAAGACCCAGAATAACTAAAGCAATCCTTAGCAAGAACAGTGAAGCAGGTGGCATCATTATACCAGACCTTAAACTGTACTACAGAGCAACAGTAACAAAAACAGCATGGTTTTGGCACCAAACTAGACTGGTAGACCAAAGGCACAGAATTGAGGACACTGAGACTAACCCACAAAATTATAATTATCTTATATTAGACAAAGGCACCAAAAACATAATTGGAGAAAAGATAGCCTCTTCAATAAATGGTGCTGGGAAAACTAGAAATACATATGCAAATGAAATTAAACCTCTATCTCTCACCATGCACAAAACTCAACTCAAAGTGGATCAAGGACCTAGAAATTAGACTGGAGACCCTGAGCCTAATAGAAGACAAAGGAGGCCCAAATCTTTATCATGTCAGATTAGGCCCCGACTTCCTTAACAAGACTCCTATAGCATCAGAAATAAAAATCAAGAATCAACAAGTGGGATGGATTCAAACTGAAAAGCTTCTTCTCAGCAAAAGAAACAATCAGGGAGGTGAAGAGAGAGCCTACAGCTTGGGAGCAAATTTTTACCGTATGCATATCAGATACAGCACTAATCTCTGGGATATTATAGAGAACACAAAAAAACATAATACCAAAAAAAAAAAATAACCCAATCAATAAATAGGCCAAGGAAGTGAACATACACTTCTCAGAAGGTGATATAAAATCAATCAACAAATATATGAAAAAATGTTCAACATCTCTAGCTATTAGAGAAATGCAAATCAAAGCTACTCTCTAAGATTTCATCTCACTCCAACCAGAATGGCAGCTATTAAGAATACAAACAACAATAAGTGTTGGCGAGGATGTGGGGAAAAAGGCACACTCATACATTGCTGGTGGGACTGCAAATTGGTGCAGCTAATATGGAAAGCAGTATGGAGATTCCTTGGAAAACTTGGAATGAAACCACCTTTTGACCCAGCTGTCCCACTCCTCAATGTACACTCAAAGGATTTAAAAACAGCATACTAAAGGGACACAGCCACGTCAGTGTTTATTACAGCACAATTCATAATAGCTAAACTGTGGAACCAACCTAGATGCCCATCAGTAAATGAATGGGTAAAGAAATTGTGGTATATATACACAATGGAATATTACTCAGCAATAAAAGAGAATAAGATCATGACATTTGCAGGTAAACGGATGGAGTTGAAGAATATAATGCTAAGTGAAGTTAGCCAATCCCAAAAGCCAAATGTCGAATATTTTCTCTGATATAAGGAGGCTGATTCATAGTGGAGTTGGGAGGGGGAGAAAGGGAGGATTAGACGAACTCTAGATAGGGCAAAGGGGTGGGAGGGGAAGGGAGGGGACATGGGGGAGGAAAGATAGTGAAATGAGATGGACATCATTACCCTAAGTACATGTATGAAGACACAAATGGTGTGAATATACTTTGTATACAACCAGAGATATGAAAAATTGTGCTCTATATATGTAATAGGAACTGTAATGCATTCTGCTGTCATATATAACAAATTACAATAAAAAATTAAATTTAAAAAAATATCATTCTTTCAAATTAATTATATACAGAAGCAAATATGTACAGAAGGTTGTTCTCATCCAAGAGTGCACATCAGAATCAAGATTGCCAGGTACCACCTCAGACTTGCTCTCTCAGAATCTGAGAGGTTCAAGCACGTGTACTTTTATAAAGCTCTCCAAGTGATTATGATGCACATTCTCAAGCTAAGAACTGCTTATATAAATAAATCACTGCTTTAAAAATGGTGTGAACAGTAAGGCGTGGTGGTGCATGCCTATAATCCCAGTGATTTGGAAGGTTAAGACAGGAGGATCACAAATTCCAGGTAAGCCTCAGCAACTTAGCAAGGCAGCACTGGGCAACATAGCAAGACCCTATCTCTAAATAAAAAGAATTAAAAGGGCTGAGGATATGGCTCAGTGGTAAGCACCCCCTGGGTTTAATCACCACTACCAAAAAAAAAAAAAGTGTGAAAAAAAAGACCACAAAAAGAGGAAAAAATAACTAAGCAATACTTTAAGCTAGAACATACATACTCTGGTCCACCTGGCAAGCAAATCATGATTTAAAAATTAAAACTGTTACAATCTAATGAACTACTACAATTAGCAATGAAAATTAACTTGGATATGCAAGTGATAAAAAAAAAATCGTGAAATGTATACTGGCTTTCTTATAGATACCTGAATATCTATTTGTTGCTGTTGTAATTTTTCAAGATGCTTAATTTGCTGCTCCATAAATACATTCATTCGCTTCTCATGATCGTGACAATGCAATTTCTCTTCTTTATTCTGAATGCTTGCTTGCTGTTCTGTAACACGTTGTAAGTGTTTATCGGTCTCCTGTAACTTATTAAGTAATTCTGTAACAGAATTAACTTTTGCTTCCAAATCACTCTGCACCTAAAAGGATAAAAATCACAAAATAATTTTTTATATTATAGTACAGAAAGACAATAAAATATGGTCAATTACAAAGAAGGTTATTTATAGCAACTGATTTGAGAAATTGTCAAAGTAGAACCTTTACTCACTGTATCTCTGATGATTTGATGCCTTTATTTTTAGAGTCACAAAAGTAAAAGGCAGGAAAAAAAATTAAAAAGTAAAGGGTAGGAGATCACAATCCTTAGGATTTATGTTTCCTCTCATTAAAAAAAAATTTTTTTTTGCCTCATAGAAGTTTATAATGCAGAAATAAGAAATACTTAAGTGGAAATTAAAGAGACAGAAATAGCAAGAAAACAACTTTTTATACTTCACTAATGTAAAACTGAGTTAGGTTAGCAGTCTTAAGTTCTCATCTTGGCTCTCCCACCTATTAGCTCTAAAATCTTTTTCCTCCTGTGACGTGGTTCTCCTTTCCCATTACAAACTAACAGGTTAGGTCTACGTAATCTAAGCTGTCTTCTAGTTCTCAAATAAGGATGACCAATCATCCTAGTTACCCAGAACTAAGAGGCTTCCTAGGATTTGTGACTTTCAGTGCTACAAAGTCCTAGCACCATCAGAGCAATGAAAGGGTAATTTTCATAACTTCTGAGAAGTAATACACAACCACACATGGTAAAATTTTTTCAACTTGAGATCAAACAGAATGTTCTTAGTCTAGAGCTGGACACAACTACTTAGAGCATCTTAACAGTTATTTTTATAAAATTTCACAAAGTATATTCATAATACCTGGAGAGAAAAATATACCTTTATCAGTGGAGCTGCTGTTGCAATGGCAGCAGCAGTTGCTGCAGCTACAGTTGTAGCAGAATCAATGGCACTGGGTGAAGTTCTGGCCTCCTGTGTAACAGTATTCTCTTCTGTGCCAGCATCTTCTAAAAGATGTACCTTTACTTCCTTAAAGATAGGCATGCTTTGCGCTCTATCAATAAAAAAGGAATAAAATATATTCAATAAGGTATGCTGAACCACTTCAATAAATATCTGTAAGTGGTCATCCACTGAAGGTAATTTTCTTGATTTTTAAAAATTAAATCACCTGCCAAGTTTGGTGGCACACTCCTGTAATCCCAGTGACTTGGGAGGCTGAAACAGGAGGATTACAAGTTCAAGACTGGTCTCAGCCATTTAGCAAGACCCTCAGCAACTTAGCAAGACCTGTCTCAAAATGAAAAGTAAAAAGGGCTGTGGATGTAGCTCAGTAATAAAGTAGCCCTGGGTCCAATCCCTGGTGTCAAAAAGAAAAAAAATTAAATTGCATATCAAACAAAGTTATTTTGTTAATGAAGTTTATCAAGGTTTGAGTCACTAAGGACTAAAGATATAAGATAATTCCCTGAAGGCAGTGATGTTATTTCAGAAAATAGGACTTATATATATGTGGAAAAGGCATGGTCACAGTTAAAAGGATATGTAATCAAGAAATATAAACCAAGCATAGTGATGCATGCCTGTAATACCAGCCACTTGAGAGACTGAGGCAGAAGGATTACAAATTTGAGGCCCACCCCAGCAAATTAGTGAGACCCTCAGGAACTTAGTTGATAAGTTCTCAAAACAAAAGATATTTTGATTATTTTGATAAGATCTCAAAATAAAAAAAGAACTGGGAATGGTAAAGTGCAGGGGGGTGGAGGAGGAGGAGGAGGAAGGTAAATTTAAGACATGAAGAAAAACATTCTAAGAATTTAAATACCAAGTTTTATTTCCCCAAAACAAACAACCCAAGAGGGATTACTGCTATTTTTAAAGTACTGATAATTTTATTCTCTAAATACTTTTAGAAGAATTGTAACATTAGAGGAAGAGAGTATAGCTTAGTAGTAGAGTATGTGGTTAGTATGTGTGAGGTACCCTGGGTTCAATTTCCAGCACAAAAAAAAAAAAAGAAAGAAAAAAGAAATATAACATTATTGATGTATACTTTACCCCCTTTTAATCCAGCTTTAATGAAGCATAACTGACAAATAAAAATTATATATATTTACTATATACAACATATTTTGATATATTTATACATTGTGAAAGGTTACCACAATCAAGCTACTCAACATATCCATTCCTCACATAATTATGTGTGTGTGTATGTGCAGGTGGTGGGGAGGGGGGGAATAAGAACATAAAAGGTGCCCTCCTAGCAATAAACATTATTACCTACAATCATCACATGGCATAAAATAGAGCTCTAGGATTTATTCATCCTAACTGAAATTGTACCATTTGGTTAACACCTCCCCATTCTCCCTACTCTCAACCCCTGGCAACCACCAATCTATTCTCTCCCTTTTGTAAATTCAACTTTTTCCAGTTCCACATATGAGATTATGTGATAATTCTCTTTCTGTACCTGGCTTATTTCATTTAGCACAAATCCCCAAAAACAATTATTAAAACTGCTGAAAGAAACTTTCTGAATTTTAACTCATTTAGATTAAATTAAATATCATCCAATGGGCATCAAAGACATCACTAAATAGCCTGGATTAAAAATGGACCTAAACCAGATGCCATGGTATACACCTATCATCCCAGCAATTTTGGAGGCTGAGAATTGCCAAGTTTAAAGCCAGCCTGGGCAATTTTGTGAGATCTTGTCCCCAAAAGTAAGTAAACAGATAGATAGATAAATGGGGGGATAAATAAATAATAGGAGGGGGCAGTAAATAGACACATATTAACTAAATACTAAAAAAAAAAAAAAAAAAGAATCTGTCCAGTTATGCTCTATATTTGGGCTCTAAGAAAAAATGAAAGGAACATGGACAGAATCAAATAATCCCTAGATAAGTATAAATAAAATCAACAGGAATACATTCCATATCCAGAGGCTTTATTTCCCTTGCTTGATTTTTAAAGACAGCTCAGAACTTTTGAACTTACCCCTCTGATATTTCCCCATTTCTACTAAGAGCATCATTCTTCTCTAAGTCTCAAAATTTTGAAGTCACCTTTACTTCTCTATCTTCCTATCATCTCATACTCAATAGAGTCATCAAGTTTCGCCAATTATTTCATCACAATTACATGAAAAGTGTCATAGAACTATAGAGTTGGGGGAATCTCATAGGTGGTTCATCTATCCTAATTTTCTAATTTTTACATGAAGAAACTGAGGTCCACAGAGGTAATGGGGTGTACTTGATGGAAATCACAGATTTAGTGACAAGGCCCAATTCCAGAGGTCTTCCCATGACTCTAAAACTTTCTTGGATTAGTACTTCTCCCTTCTTTCTTCTTCTCTACTAGAAAATTCATCATTTCTTACCAACCACATATTTCATTCTTTGGTTTATTTGCTTAAAAACTTCCCACTCATGTCTCCATTCTTGAAAAATCTCAGAAATGTCCTTATAAAAAGCTGAATAAGCAAATTTCCTGTTTGGCTTTCTATACCCTCCATACTCTGGTCCTATCCTCCATTCCTATATATACCTCCCTCCTATATATACCCAAAACAACCTCTCTCTGGAATCATACTGCTCTCCTTACTGACTACACATACAGCACTATGCTCACAACTGACTCGATGCTTTTTTCTCTGCTCTCTCAAACTTCTTCCACTCAACAAACTACGATATCCTTCCTCTTTGGGATGCAATCTAAATCTTGCCTCTCCCAATAAGCCTATCTTTATAACAGTTTCTATTGATCTCTCCCTTCATTAAGTACTTTTGTATTTATTGCCTATACCACATGAGGCCTGAAACATAGGCATTCCATTGTTTAAATATCTGTACAAAACAATTTAACAATATATTGAATGCAAAGCTCTATTCCTATCACGATTCTGAAAGGAACCATCACTTCTCTCCCTCTCCCACGTGTACATGCGCTCGCTCTCGCTTGCTCTGTCGAGATATAATATATATGTGTGTGTATATATATATACACACACGTGTATATATATGTGTTTATACATGTATATATATGTGTATATATAATCTCTCTCAAGATTATTTTATATACGTATATAAATATGTATATATACATATGTATATATAATCTTGATATATGTTCTATAATATATAAAATCTTGATGTTTTATATATACACACACACACACACACACACACACACACACTCATACACAATCTCTCCAACTAAGCCATAAACAAGCTAGGGAAGAGAGACTACTTTCATACGGAATAGCAACTAACAAAAGTATAGATACACAGGATGCTCAATAAATATTTAACCAATTGAGGGAATATTTGTGTGTGTGTGTGTGTGTGTGTGTGTGTCTCTCTCTCTAATGTCTTGTCTACTAAGACAGTTTAATTAGGATATTCCTTGTCTTTTAGTATTCTTGTCTGAAGTCTAAAAGTGATTTACCCTTGACCAACATTACATTATAAGGTTAGATAGCTTCTATACAGGCTTTCTTTTTCTTTCTTTTTTCTTTTAAGTTGCTCTGGCTAGCCTCAAACTTGAGATCTTCCTGCCTCAGTTTCCCAAGTAGCTGAGATCTCAGGTGTGTGTCGCTGTATCTTTATAGGCTTTTAAACTTTATTTTTAATGTAGCAAATGTAAAGAGCACCAAGTATAAAGAACAGGCAAGGGCTGGGGATATAGCTCAGTTGGTAGAGTGCTTGCTTTACATGCACAAGACCCTGGGTTTGATCCCCAGCACCACACACACACACACACACACACACCCAAAAAAAACAGGTAAATGTACATAATCCTCCCATTCAGAAACAATTATTTTCTTCTAAACTTTTATTTAGAACTTTCTTTACTCCTAAATCCATTAAATAAACCAATATACACTACAACTGTTCTCACCAAGCTCGCTAATAATTCTTGCTAAATTTAGTGAACATTTTCACTCTTTATCTTTCTTTACTTCTGAGCAATACATCTACACACTGATACTACACTACTACTAGTAGTAGTCATCTACACACTAATGACTTCTGCATATGGATTTCTAGTTTTGACCCTTTTGAAAACTTGATCTTTATATTCAATTTTCTAGAACGTTTTTTACCTGAATGCTTCATAGGTATCTTGAACCCTCACACTCAAAATGAAATTTATTCTCCCAAGGATTCCCTTTCTTAACGAATGACACTACTGATCATGTATTTATGCAAGCCAAAATTTTGGAATTCATTCTTACCACCTTCCTCAACTTCACATCTATCAATTCTATACACAAATCAGCTTCCATATCTGTCTACTACTATTTAACCTAGCATGATTTATGCCTCCATCCCACCCCTCCTAATGTATTTAGGACCTATCTCTCTGTCAAAGAGACCCCTGAAAACTCCACAGCCAAATGACTTCCTGGACAACAGCCCAGCCCCCTTCCAAATCATTATTTCATACCACTACTAGAGTGAGTCTTTTAAAAAAATATATCTCATCTTGGGGCTGGGGTTGTGGCTCAGTGATAGAGTGCTCGCCTAGCATGAATGAGGCAGTGGGTTCAATCCTCAGCACCACATAAAAATAAAATATGGTGTCCACCTAAAACTAAAAAAATAAACACTTTTTTAAAATGTATCTTATTTTTACAACTTTTTAATGATTTGCCATCCCTCTTAAAGTCCAAACTCCTTTAGAAGAATTCACATTTTCTTTTTTTTTTTTTTAAGAGAGAGAGAAAGAGAGAATTTTTTATTCATTTTTTTTTTTTTTTTAGTTTTCGGCGGATACAACATCTTTGTTTGTATGTGGTGCTGAGGATCGAACCCAGGCCGCACGCATGCCAGGCGAGCGCGCTACCGCTTGAGCCACATCCCTAGCCCGAAGAGTTCATATTTTCCTTGTACTAGACAACTTGGCCAGATTCTTCATTTCTCAAAGATTCTGGTCTATTACCTTGCATTATTTACAGTTTTGAAGCACATGATAATATCAAATAGGACAAGTACTACATCATTCCATTTTGTCACAACTCTACAGTTAAGTTACATAAATAGAGGGGTTGGAGATATAGCTCAAAGATCCCTTACCCAGCATGTATGAGGCCAAGGGTTTGATCCCTAGCACCAAAAACAAAGAATATGAACATATAGAATATGTACAGTTGAGAATAGCTAAGATACTTTTAGAAAATTAATTTTTAAATAATTTTGGAAAATTAACGTTGGAAAAATAAACAGAATGTTCAGGCACACATAAAAACACATAAACACATATACTTTTTCTCAGCTGTATGTTCTTCCAAGTAAACATTAAAATTACTTGGCTAAATTCCATCTACCAATTATTCTAAAACAAAATTCAATGACTACAGCAAAACCTATAAGCTAATTTTAGACAAACTTGGACTTTTATAGTATTAAGTCTTCCCATCCAGAACATGTTGACTATCTCAATATATCCTAGCCTTTGTCAGTTCCCAAGGAAAGTTTCATTCTTCCTCGCATAGTTTCTACAGATTTCTAATCATAAATATAACTTTTTTTGTTCTAAGTACAGAATATCTTCTACAATGTAAATTTTTCCTCCTTTTTTCCAATATCCATACCTGATCTCATTTTATTTTCTAATTGCCACAGATAGGACTTCCAAATTATAAACAAACAATAACAAAAAGAAACAATGAAGGCTAGGGATGTGGCTCAGTGAGAGAGTTCTTGCCTAACATGCATGAAGCCCTGGGTTCCATCCCCAGTACCACCAAACCAAAAAGACAATGAGCTCTCAATTCTACTATTAAACAGGATATTAACTATTTTCTTCATATTAAGAATCTGAATCTATCACTCTATTGTTAGTTTTAAAGAGGTATGTGTGCATGGTAAGGTAAGTAAGAAATAAGCATGACATTTTATTAAATGTGATCCATAGTGCTTGTCATACATATTTTCTTATTTATTCCAATGATAAGTATATAATGAATCATGAATTATTAGTGAGGCAATGCTTAAAACTGCCTGAGCCTCTTTTTTGTTTTGTTTTGTTTTTAGTTGTTGATGGACTTTTATTTTACTTACTTATTTATCTTTATGTAGTGCTGAGAATCTAACCCAGCACCTCACACATTCTAGGCAAGAGCTCTCCCACTGAGCTACAACCCCAGCCTGAACCTCATTTTTAATATGGGAACATTTTAAGACATTCCAGGCTTTTGTAAAGATTAAAACGAGAAACCAATGCAGAGAGCATAATAATTGCTATATTAGAATTTGCAATTATTTCCAGGTATACTGGCATTAGCCTATAATCCTAGATACTTGGGAAGCTAATGCAGGAACACTCCACATTTGAAGCCTGCCAGGGCAACTTAGTGAAACCCCATCTCAAAATTAAAATTAAAAGGGGGCTAGGTTGTAGCTCAGTGGCAGAGCACTTGTCTAGCATCTGTGAAATCTTGGGTTCAATCCTTAGTACCTTAAAAAAATTCAATTATTATTTTTAAAACATTGCTGCATTCCTGAGCCAAACTCTATTTCATTATTATGCATTGCTCTTCTAACACAAAAGACATACCCTATTTATAACTTGAGAAATAACACATCAATAAAATTGTTATCTTTAGCTATCAGATGAATAGTTGATTTAATGATTTTATTACATAAACTTTTTGGAAAAATTACCATGATAGAAACAAAAACACTTAGGATAAAACTAAATTTTAGCTTTGGGTATTTGGGTTAGGTTAGCCTCAGGAAATGACATGGATAGCATTCTCTGTACTGGAGCAGAATGGCATAAGTGTAATCTGTTTCTTAATATTTTTCCAAGAATTCAAACAAAATCATCACTGTTTTAGAAGGTTTATTCTTTCAAGTATTTTCCATATTTTTTAGCAATTGGTCTATTAAAATCTAGCTCTATGATTATTCTTGGTGAATCATTTAATTTCATCTAGTATTTTAAATTTGAGGCATGTAACTAATTGTACTCTCATTTGTTTTTGTCTCCTCTAAATCTATCATTTGTCCTCTTTTTATCTCTAATTCATGTATTCTACCATCATTTTTCTGACCTAAATTGGTCAGGAAGTTGCTTATACTTCTAAACTTCTAAGAACCAGTTAAAAACATTTTACTGTGTATGTTTTTTACTTTATTGGATTCATTTTTATCTGGTATAATTGATTTCTTCTCTTTTCCCTGCCTTTTCTCTATTGTTCAAGTTTTGTTTGTTCATTTAATTTTTATGGTACTGAGGACTAAATGCAGATGTGGTCAACTACTAAGTCACACCCCTTCCCTTTTTATTTATTTTGAGACATAGTCTTGCTAAGTTGCTTAGGGTCTTGCTAAATTGCTGAGGCTGGCATCGAACTTAAGATCCTCCTGCCTCAGCCTTCAGAGCGGCTGGGATTACAGGAGTACACCAACTCACCCAGCTTATTCAGGTTTTTTGCCTAGTATGCATGAGGCCCTCGGTTTAATTCCCCAGCATCACAAAAGCAATAAATAAATAAAACAGACTTAAAAGACACATTTATCCCCGGGCACAGTGGTGGCACATGCCTGTAATCCCAACAGCTCAGGAGGCTGAGACAGGAGGATCCTGGGTTCAAGGCCAGCCTCAGCAAAAGCGAGGTGTTAAGCAACTCAGTGAAACCCTGTCTCTAAATAAAATACAAAGTAGGGCTAAAATAAATAAATGCCACATAGGAACCAAGCGCCCCTTGGCTTTCATCGATGAGAATGTGGAAAAGTGGCAAACCAGCCATAGGCTGTGTGTATGTCAACTATGAGCATTGAGCACACAAAGTGGACTGAACCAAAGTTGCCCCTCTGGGCAGGGAAAGTAAGCATCTTTTCCCTGGTGCTGGCTATGCCTCTGCCTCTGCCTCTGCCTCTGATCCCCACACAGCACATAAGATGGGCGTGGGCTTCCTAGATGTCAGTTAACCTGCTGACAGCAAGACATCAGGAAGTTAGACTCAACCCTGTGAAACCTGACCCCTTGCCTCATTTGAATGGCTTCTCCCCAATAAAAGGGTTCAGCATGTGCTCCTAGCTCTCTTTCTTGCCTGCACTGCCCTTGTGGGAGCTGTGGCTGAGGAGCGGTCATTGAACTTAAAGAAAAGGTACTTTCTATGTCTGTGTCTTTATTTATTCCCCAAATTCAGCTGGAGTGACCAGTTTAGTCATGTGACGCAATAGCTGGGGATGTGGCTCAGTAGCCAAGTGCTCCTGAAATAATACCCAGTACCAAAAAAAAAAAAAAAAAAAGATACATCAATCAAATGCAACATGTGGCCCTTCTTTAGATCCTGATACAAAGAAATGAACAACAACAAAAAAAAATTATGGAACAATCAGAGAAACTTGAATATTAACTGTATGATTGATAATATTAAGAAATAGCCAGTATTATGTCTTTGGTATATTAATAGTATTGTGGCATTGCCTTTTTAAAAACTAATCTTTTACATCAAAATGCATTCTACTGTCATGTATAACTAATTAGAACATTTTTTTTCATATTTATTTTTTAGTTGTAATTGGACACAATACCTTTATTCCTTTTTATGTGGTGCTGAGGATCAAACCCAGGGCCTCGCACGTGCTAGGCGAGTGCTCTACCGCTGAACCACAACCCCAGCCTGAGAACAAACTTTAAAAAGAAAAAGAAAAAATACTAATCTTTTAGAAACACCTACTAAAATACAGATAAAATGAAATTACTTCTGAGAAAGGTTTAAAAATAATACTTGGGTAGGGGAGTGAGGGGAAATTAAAATGAAACAATGCTAACAACTAAAGCTAAACAATGGGAGTATGGCGGTGCATTAAATTATCGTCTCTACTTTTGTAAATACTAAAACTTTTTAAACAAAACGGTATTTGTAAATCTGTGGCTCTTGTTCCACTTAATATAGTGCATAATGTCCACATAATCAATGGTTGATTTCATTAAAAGTATTAGATAACTACAATAAAAGGATGGGAGAGAGTAGTTTAAGACAGCTAAATACTATCATATGAGGAAGAGTATAGTCTAAATTTAATAAATCAAGAATAGGAACATAGGCATATAATTTTAATTTATGAAATACTCTCTAGAAGAAAGAGGTAACAGTTAAAAGTAGCTGCATTGGGGAGCAACCCTGGTGGTTAAATAGTAGAGTGCTCGCCTAGCACGTGCAAGGCCCTGGGTTCGATCCTCAGCACCTATTAAAATAAAGGTATTGTATCCAACTACAACTAAAAAATATTTTAAAAGTAAATAAAATAAAATAACAAAAATTGCCTTCATACTAGTAGATGTATTCTTGCTTCATGTTTATCATGAGTTCTTGTCAGGGTTGGTTTTGTATTTCGTTCCGTAAAGGTATGAAGTTTGCTTCTTCCTCAGATCTTGACCAGGAAAAAACCTAAAGGTTCTTTGATAGTAAATAATAAGTATTATGTATAAGGAACTACTTGACCACTGCTACAAGCAGTATCATGATTTGGTTAAGAATGCAGGCTCTAAAGGTAGAATGCCTGGGTTTAAATGCCAGCCCAGTAACAATTTGCCATGACCCTGGGAAAAGCTCAATGTCTCAGTTTCCTCATCCATAAAATGGGGATTCTGTAAAACTGGGATGTAACAGAATCTCTGTCACAGGATTTATGTTATGCATATTCATGTGTTCTATAAAATTGGGATTATAACAGAATCTACTTCATGGGATTTGAGAGTGTTAAATGAGTTAATGTAATAAAACACTTAGCACAGAACCTTTTCTGTAACAACAACTAATAGCTATTGAGTACTTTATATGTGCCCAAAACTATGAGAAATGCTTTATATATCATCACACAATACATTATGTAGTGAAGAGGTTTTTGTATTTCCAAAGTATAAGGGAAGTTGATTTTAAACACAAACATGGTACAACTATTTTCTGTAAATGAAACTTACTTTTGCTTTAAAACTGTTCTTAGAGCATCCTTCTGTCCCATGGTATACTGAGAAATACAGATATCATTTGCTGCAAAATTAAGATAACAAAAATTCATTAAATTTTAATAAGCCACTCACAAAACCTGACCTTTTTTTTTTGGGGGGGGGGGTACTGGAGATTGAACACAGAGGCCATCTACCACCAAGGCACACCCCCAGTCTTTTTATTTTTATTTTGAGACAAGATCTCACTAAATTGCGTAGGCTGGTCTCATTCTAGCTATACTGATGAAAAAAATAACAAAGGAGCTGGGGTTGTGATCTTCCTGCTTGTGATCCTCCTGCTTCAGGCTCCCAAGTTGCTGGGATAACAGAGGTATGCCACCATAATCAGCTTTAAAAACCTCACTTTTTTAAACTAAAAGAATATTTAGGGGGCTAGGGTTGTAGCTCAGTGGTAGAGTACTTGCCTAGCATTTGTGAGGCACTAGATTCGATTCTCAGCACCAAATATCAATAAATAAAGTAAAGGTCCATCAACAACTTAAAAAAAATGTTTAGGACTAGATGCAATGGTATGTGCCTATAATTCCAGCTCCTCATAAGTCTGAGGCAGGAGGATTGCAAGTTCAAGGCCAGCCAGGACAACTTAAATAAGACCTGTCCCAAACTAAAAACAAACTTTTCTGAAAGGGCCAGGGATAGACTCAACAATGAAGAGCTCATCTAGCAAGCTTGAGATCCTAGGTTCAATCATAAGTACTTATTGGGGTTGGGGGGATGTTTAGGATTTAATAATAGGATTTCTCAATTTAAAAAGGTAAGAATAGGGGCTGAGGTTGTGGCTCAGTGGTAGAGCGCTCAACTGGCATGCATGAGGCACAGGGTTGGTCCTCAGCACCACATAAAAATAAAATAAAAATATTGTGTCCACCTACAACTAAAAAATAAATATTTTTTTAAAAAGGCAAGAATAGTCATAACCCTAGATACTAGAAAAATTTGTATCAAAAATACCTGAGAAACAAGGACATCTACAAATAGTTAAGATGAGATGTGTCATGTTATATGTACTTTGCCACATTTTTTAAAAAAAATAAAATGCTGAGAAAATTGAAGGTGTTATAATTGTTATGCAAACCAAAGTAAATATTTGATATTACGTTATATGAATTTCTCCTTTGACCAGATTTATATAGAGAAGAGCCTGTGTTATAGAGAATTGTTTTTATTATGCTTGAGAATTAAATCTTACACATGGAAAAGATTTCTTAAAAATAAAAAGAAAGAAAAAGAAGGCTCGGGAGGTTCAGAAGGATCACAAGTTCAAGAGCAGCCCCAACAACTTGGGGAGACCTTGTTTCAAAATTTAAAATATAGGCCGCTGGGGTGTGGCTCAGCGGTAGAGCACTAGCCTCCCACATGTGAGGCACTGGGTTCAGTGCTCAGCACCACATAAAAGTAAAAGAAAAAAAAAATTAAAGATACTGCATCCAGGTAAAACTAAAAAATATATATTTTTTTAAATTAAAATATAAATTAAAAGGACTAGGGGCTAGAGTTGTGGCTCTGTGGTAGAGCACTTGCCTAGCATGTGAGGCACTGGGTTCAATTCTCAGCACTACATATAAATAAATCTTAAAAAAAATAAAATAAATAAAGGTCCATTGACAACTAAAAAACATTTGGAAAAAAAAAAAAAAAGATTGGTGATGTGGCTCAATGGTAAAGCGCCCTGGGTTCAATTTCCACTACAAAAGATCAAGGAAAATTTGATAAAATTTTAATACTACTTAGAATAAAAAAAAATTGCTTTAAAATTTGTCAATAAATAAAACTTTTGAAGGACATTTTTAATCTATTATCTGACCCTACAAAACCTGAGTTCAGAATTTATAAAAAAAATTTATAAATGGGAGCTACAGATATAGCTCAGTTAAGTGCTTGCCTCGAATGCATAAAGCCCCCGTGGGTTCAATCCCCAGCACCACAAAAAAATAAATAAATAAATAAATAATAAATGTATATCCGATACCAAACCTGTATAATAGATTGGTAATACTAAAATAATCTTTACTATTGCAAACACTTTTCTGGATTTTTGAGTGTATTAATAACTTAATTTGGGAGAATAATTAAAATTAAAATAACATGGTATAGCTCAGTAGTAGAGTGCTTGCCTAGCATACATGAGGCCCTGAGTTTAATTCCCAACACTCAAAATAATAATAATAATAGTAACAGTAATAAAAAACCTGTTAGTTTGTTGAATGAATATCCAGAAATCAATTTTAGCTTTAAAAAGAAAATATTGACACATGCTAAAAAAAGAATGAATATTGAAGACAATACATTAAGAGAAATAAGCCAAACACTAAAGGATAAATACTGAATAAGTCCAATTATATAAGGTACCTAGCATAGTCAAATTCATAGAGGCAGGAATTAGTAGTAAATGGCCATAGAGTTCAGTTGGGAAAGATTAAAAAAACAAAGTCCTGGAGATAGACAGTGATGATGGTTGCACAACAATGTAAAGATACTTAATGTCACAAACTATATATTTTAAAATGATTAAAATGGAAAATTTATGTATATTTTACCACAATTAAAAAATGTCAATTCTATTCTTTTACCGTTTTGTCTGTTGCTCTCTTCTGTTTTATCCAAAGGTAACCTCTGCACTACAACATCTTTAGAAAAATCCTTTGGGATATAAGAGGAAAAAGTGAAAAGTTAAATAAACTTTATGATTTATTCCTTACCAATACCATTTACTAACTGTGATTACTGTGCTCTGGGAGAGCAGGACTGTGTGTTTTGTATATTTCATTCCCAGCACTACACAATGCTTAGGTACTTTGAAGCTACCCAAGGATTTGTTCAATGAGTCAATAATATACTGTCAGAGAAGTGAATAAATGAGCAAATGAGCAAACAAGCAAATGTGGCACTGAGATCCAGACTCAATTCTTGATTTGCCACTTGTAGTAAAATAAATTATTGGGGCTGGGGTTGTGGCTCAGTGGGACAGCGGTTGCCTAGCACGTGTGAGGCCCTAGGTCAATCCTCAGTACCACATAAAAATAAATAAATAAAATAAAGGTATTGTGTCCAACTACAACTAAATAAATAAATATTTAACATCTCAGTTGCTTCAGTTCAAATGAGAAAATCTGACTCTTTGTTAATCAAATGGAATAGATAAGAATGATCAATGAATGGCAAAACATCACAAATTAATCACAGATCTCTTTTTTTTTACTGAGCTCTTATGTAGTCTCAGAAAGCTTCTCTGACACCTACTGGCAAATAGCTTTCTGCTCATGTGTACAATTCTAGACTTCATCTCTAGGACCCTATTCAGTATTAAAACACAATGACCTTTTACAGTACTAGATTAACTCAGTGTTGTCCTTCACCCTTTTTTTTTTTTTCCTGCTAAATCAGAAAGGGGAAAGGAAAAATATCATACAAAAAAAATTGTTCAAGGCTAGCCACTGATGAAAGTTAACAGGTGTTAACTTTCTAAAAAATAAACAATGAGGCTAACAATCCAGTAGACATATTTAATATCTCAAACATATTCAAGTTCCAATTGTAGTATATAAAACATTTCTCTTCACACATGATAAAGAAAAACAAGGCATGTTGCTAACTGAACATAAGAACATATTGTTTGACAATAATGAAAATTTTAACATGATTAACATATTTAAGGACTCTTGCTTACGCTTTCTGATATAGCAGAATTTTCTAACGGAGGCTTGTGATAATTTCTAGAAGAAGTTATATCCGAAGAACCTAACAAAATAAAGGAATCAATTTCAGTGTTTTTAAAAACAGTAGCTTACCTATAATTATAGGCATGATTCAAGAACTATAAGCTCTATATTTGACAGATACTTTAGATGAAAAAATAATTAGGGAAAATAGGAGTCAGTATGAACAATAAAGAGACATAAGTATAAAATGTTTTAAAATACATCAGTTTAAGCTGGGAGCAATGGCACATGCCCGTAATCCCAGCAGCTCCACACGCTGAGGCAGGAGAATCACGAGTTCAAAGCCAAAATCAAAATCAAAATCACGAGGATCAGCAATTTAGTGAGGCCCTCAACTCAGTGAGACTGTGACTCTGCATAAAATTTTTAAAAGAGTTGGGGATGTGGCTCAGTGATTAATCCCCTGAGTTCAATCCCCAGTACAAAAAGAAAAAAAAAAAAAATCAGTTCACTATTGGATATGGGCAAACTATGGGATTTACCAGGAGCAAAATATGAACATGATATAAAAGCCTGATTTAACAGGAGCCTGTTATGGTGTCATTGCTGTACCTCCAAAACCCCAGCATTATAAAAGTGTTTTGAAGAGCTGGGGATATAGCTCAGTGGTAGAGTGCTTGCCTGGGATGAGCAACTGTCTATGCTCAGCATTGCAAAAATAAAAATTAAATTAAAGCACTTTGTTGTTTATTTATTTTATTTTTTATTTTTTGGCAGTACTGGGAATTGAACTTAGGGACGCTCTACCACTAAGCTACATCCTCAGCCCTTTATTATTTTAAGACAGGGTCTTGCTAAATTGTCCAGGCTGATTCAAACTTGCCATCCTCCTGCTCAGCCTCCTGAGAGGCTGGAATCAAAGGTGTGTGCCACCACACCCAGCTTATATTCATTGATTTTATCCTTACAATAACCAGTAGAATTTATAGTAAAGTGGGTAAAAGCATAATGTTTTCATTTTCTCTGAGCTCCAGACAGGATAAATGAATTGAAACAAAGAAGTCATCAAATGACTTAAGTTGTGTTTATACTATGCCAAAGTGGATAGTACTGTAGAGCACTTGGTAAAGAGCACTACTGGGGGAAATTTAATTCATTGTACAAGTTAAGCATGTCTATCATAAATGTGAACAAGAATAATGTGCAAACATGACACGAAGAAAAAGCACAATAGGAAAAGTTAAAGTTTCATTTACCGAAACCATTCATTTTGTGGACCCTCTATGCCTGGCCATTTTCCCAGGGAACAGGGTCAGTTTTTAAACATCGGTATAAGCCGGAAATATCTTACACTTTTGAATTTAAACATTAAGAATCCCCTATATTTTGATGCACAATAACCAAAATAAAGATTAAGTTTTACAAAAAAGAAAACTGGCTGAAAAACTACAGTATATGGAATAACATACCATGCAATGTTCCATTCATGTTATTTCCCTTTCGAACAGGAGGAGGTTTATTTGCAGACAACACTGCAGAAACACGGGGCAACTCATCTTTCCACAAAGCCAAATTGTCTTCCTGATTCGGAGAAAGGACCTCACGAAGTCTCCTCGCGGGCATTTTAACCCTTTTTTTCTTTCCCGAGCTTTTCATATTGTTAGCAAGAAACCTAGTCCCACAATTCTGAATGGAAGAACTTTCTTCTGTGTTCATAAGACTTCTGAATAAAACTTCCACCTCTTTAAGGACTAAGAGAATACAAGAAGGGAAAAGGGGCATATTAAAAAAAAAAAAAGAAGAAGAACGTGAATTCCAAAAGTGATTATGAATATGCAGTCATTAACTTAAAAATTAAAATGTCTAAGGAGAATACTCACAAAGCTGGAATTTAACTTTTGGTACTTAATCCAGGACCAAAGACGACTAGGTCATATTTAGCCATAAAACTCACTGAGTCTATTAATGCACCAAGCCAATGAATCTAAAAGGGGATGACAATAGAATGGCCACAGAGCAACAACAAAGTTAATGCCCTCCCCAACCTGAGGGCTGGCAGTGCAACACCAAACAAATGTGGAAACGGGGTTAAAATTTGTTCAAGAGGGAATCAAGCAGGCAAAATCGAAATGCTGTTTAAAAAAAAAAAAAATCACCCACATAAGATTAAAAGCTTTCTTCACCAACAGAGTCTTACACACGCCTCCAGATGCAATCACCGGACGCCTAAATTCACTCTGCGTCTCCAGTAAACCCGGCAACCTCGCAGTCAGTGGTCTGATCTGACAACAGCTTCTACTGCCTGCGGGTCAACACCCACTTCCCTTTAAGCCCGCCCTTGAGACACAATACGCATGCGCGCCAAGAAAAGCGTCCAAAACATCCAACCAAAACGCAAGTACTCTCCCGTGCCCTTCCATCCCTGTCCGGGTGGAAACAAACTTACACTGTTAAAACCTTAAAAGAGATGTGAATTTATTTTTATTTTAAAGACAACACATCTCCCTACAAGATTAAGATATTGGATAAAATCCGAGGGACTCATCTTCGACTGAAGCGCTCCTGACCTGACTGGTAACACTACTCGTGTTTATTAGGGATTATTTTCACTGTAGCTCCTGAAGACCGTTAGGACCGTGGGGTTAAGTAAATTAGTCTTCCAAAGAGCTTCAATAGATTCGGGTCGTAGGGAGAGAGAGTCAGGAATAGAGAGCGCTGGTAAGCATACAGCCACGAAGTTAATTTTTAGTGGATTTCAGAATTCATTTATGGTACTGGATTTTTTCCTTAGATTTCCCCACGTTGTAAAGAATCTGCGTCAAAGAGTTTAAGTACTGTTTGACATCACCGCTCCCACGTGTTCTGTTCCATCCAGCGGCGGCGGCACCCTGACCCCGACCCTCAGCCCCCAGACTCCACCTGCATTGCAGCCCCCCAGCCTCTTACCAGTCGGATGCGAGAGCCTGTGGTTAAGTATGGTCTCTTTTCTCTGCCCTCAGAATCCTGGGCTCTCGGGTGGGGGGCGGAGGTCAGCTTCAGAACGGTGGCAGGGTCCCGGGAGAAAGCGGCGGCGATGTGTGTGGGCCGCGGGGGCTGCAGACCCGGGCAGCGCGTCTGGCCGGGTGCGGACCTACGCGGCGGCCTCGTCAGCCTGCCAGGGTGGGAAGCTGAGGCCCCGAGCCACCTCAGGCTCAGGTTTGGGGAGTCTAGGTCTTTTGCGGGGACAGAGAATTAGGCTGTAAGGTTTTCTGTGCCGCGACCTTGCGCTGACATGCTGGAGTCCCTCCTTTAACTGCAAAATCCTTTCTAGACTCCAGTCCTTTCTAGACTACCAGGGCTGTCTGCTCATTTTCGAAGACGCACTGCTTAGAACCTTCCCTTTTCGCCTTGCTGTGTATAGGCTTTAAAATAGATTAATCAAAGTAAAATATGTAATCCGATGGAAAAACTGCCTACTTTCATAGACGTCTAGAATTAAAATGGACCTACGGGTCAGCTTTGGAGAACATTTCACTTATTTTTGCATCCTGATGAGTTTCAGTAATTAACAACTATTATTATGTCAGTTACATTTTCCCCATTGACATTGGTCTCTTTTGTTGAACCTATTTGTTCACAGTTTTCATAAGTGTATTAAAAGAATAACAATGTCAGAGCTGCAAGAGACCTTATGATCACTTAACTTCCATCATTTCTGGGTGAAATTTGGGTGTGAATGTGAAAGTGGGGGAAAAACCTTATCTTGCCCCTCTTATCTCTAAGGCATTTATTAAGCAAAGGCATTTATTAATATGACTTGAATAATTTGGATCTTAAAAATCCCTTTAATGTCATCCTCCAGTGCCCAAGGCTCAGTTCTTTATATCTTGAAGCCAGTCTTTCCAGTCTGAAAGCAGTATGATTATCTCTCAAAACTGCTCTGGTTAACAATGAGTTATCATTGTTAGGGTTATTAGAGTTATTGTTAGACAACCTAAATCTGACTAAAATAACTTCCTAAATCTGCTACAAATAATTTAAAGGGTCATGTGATTCCTATTAGGTTATATTAAACAAGTTAGTAAAAACAGTTTAGACATTTGACCTCAAAGACACTGATAACTCTGATACAAAAAAAAAAAAAAAACATGGGTCAGAAGGGCGTTTTCCCCCCTTTTTCCTTTTTTTAACATGTATTTGCTTTTTCTTTCCCACTCTTTCTCCAAGCATGTATAAAATTTTTCTGCTGAACCATTTGCAAGTAAGTTGCAAACATGAACTTTAACCACAATTTATTCAGCATGTGTCTCCTTAAGGACATTGTATTACACAACATCAATAAATTATCATACTTGATAACATTCAAATTTCTCAATTATCCAGGAAGTGTTTAATGTTTCTTTGATCAGGTTCCAATCAAGGTTCACACACTATGTATAGTTCTCAACACTCTTCAGTCTCTTAATCTACATCAACCTTTTCTTTATTGCATTTTTTTTAAAAGACCAGCCCAGTTTTCTTCAGTTATTTCGTATTGTGGATTTTCCTGATTATTCCCTAATGATCAAAGAGCATTTTTTTTTTTACAAGAATGCCACATAAGTAATGCTCTGTGCCTTAGTGGGTCCCATCATAAAATACCTAATGCCACAACTCAGTGTATGTGGTGCTAGGTTTAATCACTTGGTTAATATGACTAGTGACTATGATCTTTCCAACATGAAGGAGTACTTTTCTTTCTGTGATATGTAACCTATGGAGCTGCTTTAAGATCATAGATATATCCTGTTCCTCAACTACTTGTCACTCAGTGGTTTTATATGATCTTTGCCTGAACCATAAGATGCCAATTACCAGTACCAATCCTCAAAGACCAGGAGCAATTATATTGATAGGGCCAAGGACATCAGAAGAATCATTTATTGTAAACTACGTTTGAGCAGAATTAGGATTTGGCTTCAAAGTTGGTACAAATCTGCATATGATTTTTAAAAAGAAATGGAAGGTATCTCCCCATCATGTCCTGGTTAATTTATTTTATTCAGTATTATACATTTCTGGAAATTATTATGTGATGATATTCACCTGAAATAAAATTTTTCTGGGGCCTTTGAAATCTCTTTTGTTCTTTGCTAAGTGGATTTCCTTTCTGAGAAGGAAAGGAAAATAATTTAGGGAAGTTACTAGGTGCATTAAGAAGAGATAATAGACAAGGTTAATAAATGTGAAAAAATGTAAGCAAAAATAACAGTTGCTGAAGAAAGGGTCTGAAGAGCTTACAGCATGTTTGTCTATTTGGAGAATATATTTTAGATAAATGGTATTCTAAATAACAGCTTATTGGAAACATAGGTCTTAAGGTGTAAGAGGGAAAACACTGCTTAAAGTATGAACAACACCTTAGTTAGGCCCCTACTGTTGCAGTTACTGTTTGTAAAGTGGTCTCTTATAAATGTAGACATTTCTAAACTTTCCCTCCCAGGGGTATTAGAAGAATCATATAAGAAGTAACAATATGTAGGATGACATTAAGTATGCTAAAGAATTGTAGTCTCAGAATAGAGGGGAAGAGGGGTATTGGGGATGTAGCTCAGTGGTAGAGTGCATGCTGGCATGCATAATGCCCTGGGTTTGATCCCCATTACAGCAAGAAGGAAAAATACCTGATGTATCATTTAACTTGGTAATAAAAAAGAAGAAGCTTTTTTAAAAATAACATCGCCACAGAACTTTAGATTTCATCAGAAAGACTGTTAGAGCTCCAAAGGGCCTCAGCAGTCATACTATAACACCCTAATTTTTCAGGTAAGAAATCAGGCCTCACTGGAGACAGACGTTCAAGCAAAGGCTGGACAACCACTTTTCCAGAACAAAAAGGAAACTCATGCATCAGAAAAGGTTTGAGCTCGATGACTGATAAGATCTCCCTTTACTATTAAGTTCACTGGTACTATAATATATATCGTTTGGCACAAAACTAAACATTGCTATCATCATTCATAAGAGGTAAGCTAGAGTTCTATCCCTTCTCTCCTACACCAGCTTTCAGGGATTTAGCCTGACACTAACTCCTGATTGGATATTTGCCTCTAGAATTAAAAGCCTTTTCTGTAAGAAAAGAAACAAAGAATCAAATAAAAGACAAAACATTGCTGCAACCTGTTCTCACCATCAGCAGTTTTGTGTGGCTATTGGTCTTTGTCAGTCAGTGTACCTCAGGATTAAAAAACTACACAATGAATGGTGAAAGATTTAGAAGACCTTACACTATAGAGTGAATCTGAAAATCATTCATTTGAGCATCTCCACTGTTTACTAGGAATAGTTTTCTGTGGTTAGTTTCATCATAATCTTGATAATAATAACACTACAGAGAATAAATAAGCTATGGAGATTTAGGCAGAGTTAAGAAAATTGCTGGGGCTGGGGTTGTAGCTCAGTGGTACATCGCTTGCCTAGCATGTGTGAGGCATTGGTTCGATTCTTAGCACCGCATATAAATAAATGAATAAAATAACAGTCCATCAACATCTAAAAAAAAGGGGGAAAGAAAATTGCTGGTTGGGGGTGTACTCAGTGGTTACACTTACCTAGCATGCACAAAGCTTTGGGTTCCATTCCAAACACTGGGGGGGGGGGGGGGGGGTGGGGATTGCTGACTATTAGCTGATATTGAGTTTAAGTGTAGGCCCAGGAAATGTTTAAAAAAATAAAATACATAATCAAATGATTCTAGGAAAAACTCATAATGTTAGCAGTGATCTTTGAGTATAATCAGTAGATTATATTACTTTTATAGTATAATAAACTTTTTTTTTTTTAAAGGAGGAGACTGTTTAAGGAATGTACATTAAAAGACAACTAAAACAAACCACAAGGGCTGGGGTTGTGGCTCAGTGGTAGGTCACTTGCCTAGCATGTGTGAGGCACTGGGTTCAATCCTCAGTACCACATAAAAATAAGTAAATAAAATAAAGGT